GACTGACTGACACACACTTCCATTTGCACAGCGGGAATCAAAGCTTCATCAGGCCACTTTGCATATTTGTGGCGGCAAACAACCCTGAGTTGCAGCTCACAATGAAACCACAAAACAGCCACACAACACTTCGGTGGTCACATTGTTCAAGGGTCGTTGGTAAAAAGCCACCTCTTTGACCCAAGGAGAAATAGATGAGTGAAGTTCTCTACTATTAAAATAAAAAAAATTAAAAAAAAGTTTGGTTTGTTATTGCTTTGTTGCAACAATATTTCTTGTCCATAAATATTATACGGTTTGAAAGCCTTTATTTACCCCATATATATTGCAATATTTATTAAGAATATGCATTTATGGGTTGAGCAGTAGAGTTGAGTATGTATGTTGCACTAGTATAAACTCATCAAGTCTTCTCTAGCTGTTTGGTGCCATTTATTGAATCAGATAGTCAAAGTCTGTTGAAACAAGACATAGAGGTAATTCATCAATTTATAAATTTAACAAAAATGGTCCTTGGTAGCATGTGGAAGAACCATACACAGCCACAGCAGTCTGGGAAACAAGACATATTGGTAATTCATCAATTTATAAATTTAATAAACATGGCCTTTGGTAGCATGTGGAAGAACCAGATACAGCCTCAGCATCCTGGCACCTTCTCCTCATGCTGCTCACCAGCTTGGTCACACACTACTGTTGGACGGCATCCCATTCTTTAAACAGCATTTGTCACCAAGCCAGCCAGTGTAGTTGTGTTGATCACTCTTGACCCAACAGCATGGCCAGCCTGATCCTGCAGGTGTATAATGAGGTTGAGGTCAAAACTGCAGGCAGGCCATTCTATTCTCTCCAGTTCCAAAATTTGGAGGTAATCCCTGGTAAATGCTGCTTTTTGGGGGTTTTCTCATCATGGAAGACAGAGTTTGGTCCAAGACTGTGGAGAAGTGGGATTGCCACTGGTTTCTCAATGACAATCAGGCACCTGATTGTCAGGTCCTGGACTACCAGAAGCTCAAAACATGAGGAAATAGCAGAATAATCTGTTTGGTACTGGCAAATAAAATATTTCATGGACACAACTCATATACAACCACAAATATGTTGTAGTATCAAATGTGGCAACATTTATGGGAGCATGAACATGCTTTCCACTGCAGCAAGATTTATTGCCAATATGCATATTTACAACAAAGAAACGGTCAACTGAAAACAAATTTATTTACTTTTTATACCGTGTTTAGATCTCATGCAACTTTTAAACCTGTTTAAGCCATCTGAGCTGAGATCATGGTGAAAAGGTAGCTCGCTCGACCCAAAGTGGATAAAGAAACAAAAGTTGTACCACAAATTATGAAAATTCATTGTAAAAACAATCTGCAACTACAGGGATTTTTTTGTATTATTTTAGGATTTTTTTTTCCCTGTATGTTTTTAAATTCATGAAAAAATATGAACGGTATCTAAAATACTGTTAAATAATGTAGGAAATGTAAATTAGCAATTCTTAAGTAAACATTAAAACACTATGCATATGTAGAAAATAGTCTTTTTTTCCCCACTTGAAATATTTTTTATTCATAAAAACTGTTAACACATTTTCAAATTCACCATAACGTTTGTACTATTTTTGATTTGTTAATCATATATATATATATATATATATATATATATATATATATATATATATACATATATATATATATATATATATACATATTAGGGCTTTAACAGACTACTCGAGTAAACAGGTTGATTCCCAGGGCATCTATCCAGTTTTTAAATTTCACGTCGAGTATTCGCAGTGACGTCATTACGTTGCAGTGACGTCATTGCGTCACATGTCACGTGATCTGCACCGGGCTACTAGTAGAAGCTACCAAATGGATTCCTCCCAGCAGATGGACTGAGCGGAGCAGGCCCAGTCTTGGCAAAGAGGTGGAAATGCATCAGTAGTATGGAATCTTCCAGTTCAACTACCATAAGGAAACAGAAAATGAATCAACTTCTTGACTGTTTGGCACTCGTTGCGAACCGGTGTTATACCATTTTCTGTTACCACCGTATATTGTGATCGTAGGGGGCGGTGTTGCATGCACTGTTACAGGTTACAGAATATGGTGTAACACCGGGTCCAATCGACTGAACCAGAACCAGCTTTCTCTGACCTTGTTTCACAAACTAAAAGCAAAAAATATTCATCTCTAAACCTATAAAAAAAAAACTATAAACATATTAATCTCTAAAACTAAACCTAATGCGCACCGCAGCTGGCGGTGGTGCAGGATGGTCGTCCGCCCCACTGTTTTTAGTTTTGTTTTTGACGTGCTGCACGTTTCTTTCACTTTTGCAGCTTAATAATAATAACTAATAGTTTTGGTTTTCCTGTGACTTATTTGCAGTATGATAAATGGTAGGAGCATAATATACTTTCCCAATGTTTTGTTGGTCTGTTTTTGTAAATAATAAATCACGTTTTTTTGCAGTTTTATTTATTTATTTTTCTCAACTTGAGATCTTATGACGTCATCAACTACTTGAATTCTACTCGAGCTTTATTATGTTAATGTTGAGTTTAAAAATTATGTAGTCCTTCAACCCCTGATATATATATATATATACACACATACACACACACACACATATACTGTATATTCACATATCTATACTGTGTATATATATATATATATATATATATATATATATATATATATATATATACTGTATAATATAGTTTCTCTGTGTCCAAGCTGCTTGAACATTATAGTTTATGTTGTTGTTGTTGTTTTTAGTGCATATGTGCAATTTTCATGTAATTTTAAAGCAGATTATGATTATTTTCTTTAGCAATAAGTCATGCTGTTTGTTTTTGCTCTTATTTCTATTTATTTTCCATTTAGTTGTTTAAAGTTTCAGTTTGAGAATTCAACTTTTTTTTTCTTCTTTTAGTTCTAGTTGTGGGAGGGGTTGAGGTATTTCGTGTGTTTCTGTGCTCAGATTTGGATATTTTTTGTGTTTTTGTTTTGAAACATGTTCATGATTACAATGATCACAGTTTATATAAGATTTGAACCGTTTTATGTCATTTTGGTTACTTTGTTTCCTCTATTAGTTTGTTTTGCATCTTTTTGTCACTGTTCGTTTTTCTAAAGAACTGTGCACGGTTTTTATTTTTTAAAGTTAGATCCCATCTTGTCTTTGCTTGTTTGGTTTTGCTTTATTGACCGTATGGCTCATTTAGTCCATTTGTGTCTCTTTATGTCCTATTTCTGTTTTGTTCTGTTTATTTGTAGCTCTTTATTGAGCCTTACAAGCACTCAGTGGTGAGCCGTGCATTTCACACCTAGGCCTTCAATGGTGTCCTGCTTGATTTTATCCACCTATTGATTACTGTCATTTTGCTGCTACAACTACAGAAACCATCAATAATTCACAGAAACAGAGAAAAATATGGTGCTGCATCACAGAATAAGTCATTATTACTAAAGCAAGAAGTTTCTTTCAGCTGCAGCCACAGACGTATTTACCTAAAGCATCAACATGGACATAATAAATTAACTGGTGGCGCCAACTCAACTTCTGATTGGTCAAAGCAACAGTTCATTGCCCGTTGTTTCAACCTGCAGAGTTGAAACCACCTGCAGGGGCCTGCGCTGTTGATTCCGAAGGCCTGGAGGCAGACTTCTTTGACCCTAGCAACAGATGGTGGTTGAAATATGATTGGCTAAAAGCTCTTTATAGGCACGGGCTACTGGAAGCTGCACAACCAGGAGAAAAGCTATGAAATGAACAGAATCATATTAATTACTGTACTTGCCGCTGTGCACGTTGCACTGCCGTATAAGTTGCATCAGTCCAAATATGGCTAATAAAGTGGAAAAAATGTAAATATGTTGCTTCGCCGTATACGTCGCATCTATTATGGGTCACCGCTGACCACCCGGACACGTGGGCCGATGTTGTGCCAAAAATCGAATGGCAGCTGCGGGATCGTGCACCAGAGGACATTCACAAGATTAACACCTAAAACAATTATTTGTTTGCTCGACATTATAGTAAAGGTGTGTCTCAGTCTAACTTTTTCTTAATAAATGCACTTTAATCGTCAAATCAGCTGCATTTTGCCTGGGTGGCGCAGCGAAATGCAGCTGATTTGACATTTGCTCCAGGAGTGAGACGAAGGTGGGTTGTATGGCAAGCCAAATGTCTCATTAATAGCCACTTTTACCTATTAATGAGACACTTGGCTTGCTATATTAGTCGAGGGCCCTCTAGTGGATGAAAATGGTATTGTTCAATATTTTCCATGTCAGATCTCAGCCAAAAATTTGGTTATAAATATGTGGAAAAAACATATATTAGTCGCTTCGCTGTATAAGTCACATGCATGCTAGTTTATGCAAAAAACTGTGACTTATACAGTGAAAATTACAGTAATAGAAATAAGGTACTAACATGTATGTAAGTTAGTTATTCTGATTGTGCAGAGAATGCTTTGCTGGCCCTGACGGTGCACATTGCTAGCACACCATGGCCTGGTAGAACCAAGAAATAATATGTCCATGGGTGGAACATTGTTTTGCTTAGTTGGGTTTTTTGCATTTTAACCAGTTATCAAAATATGTACAATAAGTTTAAGATGGAATGTTATGTGATAGATTGATAAATACTTTATTTGTCCCCAAGGGGAACTTCAATAACAGCTGACAGCTTTGCTAACTTTTTGATTTTTGTTTTTGCCTCATTTGAACGTGCTGCTCACTGCCGTCTTGTACCTCTGCTTTAGTGATGAAACATTTCAGCCAAATGATAAAATCTAAACAACTTTAAAGCCGTTTTGAAGTCTATTTACAGATTTAGGAGTTTTAAAAAAAATCTGCACAGGATAAGGTGCAAAACTACCTCTGATGTCTGATCAGGATTCTCACCTAAAATCATTATCTTCTAGAGCCATGGCCCAACGGTGCTGGTTTCTGCCAGCCGTCCACAGCGCTCAGCGAATCCTCGTCCATCCACAGCGATGCCCTGAACCACCTGGGCATGTCTGGGACTGGGCTGAAAGCCATGTCCTACAGCCTCCTGGAGCCCAAAGCTTTGAAGGAAGAGCCCTGGGCTGAGGAGTCACAACATCTGCTGCAGGTACCGCTTCAACCTTCCACCTCTGAGGTTCACATTGTTTGGGTGACGCAGTAGTTCACATAAAAAGGAGCAGCTTGTTAAACCGAGCTAATGACGGGATGCTTCCTGTGAGTGTAATGTTGCACGGCATTGCAACATTTTATAAGTTGGCACAATGTCTCATTAAAATGCCTCCAGACGTCACACAGTGATGATGAAGGAGGCACTTGTTCTTGGAGATCACTGCGTTTGTGCTCTTTCACAATAAGTCGGGTCCATTCTGCAGAAAGACAATATGAGATTAAAACTGCCGTTACAAAACAAGCTTGGAAAAGGTCGATAATAAGACCTGAAAAAGAACAGATGGTCCATCCATCATCTTTTACCCGCTTCTTCCATTTTGGGTCACGGGGGTCGCCGGTGCCCATGTCTAGCAATCCCTGTGCGATGGTGATGTTGTAAAACAGAATGCCATGATTTCAAATTTCAACATATTTATTAACATATGTAATGCTTCAACTAAAATATTTGCATGACTTATTAGAAAATAACAGTAATTTAAAATTTGATGGCAGCTACATCTCAAAAGTTTGGACAGGGGTTACAGAAGATTATAATCTATGTGGCACAAACAAGAAGCAGCTGGAAGAGCATTTTGCAACAGTTCAGGGTGATTAGCAACAGGTCAGCAAGCAGACTGGGTAAAAAAAAAAAAAAAACAGAGTATTTTAGAGAAGCTGAATCTCTGAGAAGTAAAGATGGGCAGAGATTCTCCAGTCTGTGGAAGACTAAACGCTACAAATAGTGAAACAATGTCTGAACAATGTTCCTCAACAGAAAATTGGAAATACTTTGAATATCCCGTCATCTACAGTTCATAATGTCATTAAATGATTTCAAGAATATGAAGAAATCCAACATTCAGTCAGGTCATCTGGATGGTTTATTTTTTATTTTTTGCTGAGATGTATTATCCTTCATCCAAAGGACTTCCTCAATCCAAGAAGCCACACAACTGATTTCCACAAACAGCATACTCCATAGTGGAAACAAAACAGTTTGCTGGTGCTAAGATGGCTTCTGGGGCCCACCCTCTGCCTCATCAACTCTCCTGAGACAGTCATGTCAAAGTGGTTCAAAACGCCAACGTTCATGCTCAATAATCCAGGTATAAAATCCAACAATGTTCAGTCCGGTCATCTGGATGGTTTATTTTCTTGCTGAGACGTTTTGTCCTTCATCCAAAGGACTTCCTCAATCCAAGAAACCACCAAACAAAATTTATTTCCACAAACAGCATACTCCTTAGTATAAATAAATACTTAAATAAATAAATAAAACCACTTTGGCATGACTGTCTCAGAGGAGTTGACGAGGGAGAGGGCAGGCCATCTTAGCACCAGCAAACTGTTTTGTTTCCACTATGGAGTGTGCTGTTTGCGGGAATCAGTTTTGTTTGGTAGATTCTCGGATTGAGGAAGTCCTTTGGATGAAGGACAAAACGTCTCAGCAAGAAAACAAACCATCCAGATGACCTGACGGAACATTGTTGGATTTTATACCTGGATTATTGAGCATGAACTTTGGTGAATATGAAGAAATCTCTGAGCTCATAGGTCAAGAGTGCAAATCATTATTGGGTGCTGTAAAATTTGGGCCCTCAGGGGCCACTACATTAAAAACAAGTCAGATTCTATTCTGGAAAGAACGCTTCCTTTTACAAATCATTGTCTGTAAACACAGTTCACCAAGTACTGCTTCAAGCTCTATTAGTCAAAGAAAAAAAAAAGACAACAAATGAAAACACTCTTTGGAAACGCCATCATTTTCTCATTTAAAACAGACAATAGAGTCAAAATGAAAAACTGTTTATTTATCCTCAATCTGTCTGAGACTTGACGTAATTCAATTCTAGATGGTGGACCGGCTGCACTGGTCCAAAGACAAACTGTCCAAGATCCAAACTGACCTGGATCCTGCATGTAATTGTTATAAACAAACTCCAGCTACATTCTTGCACACATTCTGGACTGGTCCAAAAACTGTGGACATACTGGCAATCTATTTTTGACACCTTCTGTGATATGTGGATAAACTAGAGTTGCACTTGGGCCCCAAAAATCTGACTCGACCCGGCCCCAGCTCGTAGCCATCGTTTCCAAACCCCACCCAACCCGACGAATTAACAGACATGCTTAATTAAGCTTTGACTGCTCATATAGTTATTAATGGTCGGCAGACGTGAGCGGCTGAGTAAAAGAGGGCAGAAGATCAGAGCTGAGGGGGTGTTTGTCCTTTCATGGCCGTCAAAGCACATTAAATCCCTGCTTCTGCCTGCATTCTGCATTATTCATACATGGACCCTGCTCTGACATGTCAGATATTTTAGGATCTCACCTGTTTGGGTTGTCGGCCGCGCGCGTTCACTGAGTGCAGCGGCTGAATGAACGTCCATTTCATACCAACTGGCTTCGTTCATGCTGGGCGCTTATTTTTGTCCCATCTGAAACTTAACTGAATTTTTTACCTCTTTCAAGACCGGTCAGCACACAGTCAAATGGCCACATGCGGCTGGTGACTGTATGGCAAGCCATGTTGCCATGTAATTGGATCGTCAGCTGCGCACGTCCGCTGACACAATCAAAAGCTTGACACCAGCCCGACCCGCACATTACTATGGCCTGGGTCGGGCCGGGATCCGGGTTCTGGTTGGAAATGATAGCTCTAGGATAAACTGTACACCCATCACCACTCATCTCACTGGGGTGGTCCCTGTAGAAACATTCTTCAGCAAGTATGAGAATGATGTGCTTTTGGCTCACTTCTGGCCAGGAGACTTGCCTTGTGCAGATGGAAGGACCCACACCCCCCTAGTATATGAACACTGGGTAAGAGAAGTCATAAATCATATTCATCTGGAAAAATGTTGATACCCTGAAGGGTTCTGTTAAAAGAGTTTGGGGCACTCGGCAGCTTTTTATGTTGTATGTGGACAACATGTCAATGCCTGTTTAAGACGACTGATCCAGTGTGGGGAGGGGATTTTATTCTATGATCTTTTTTCTTTCTTTTCTCTTTGTGTGTGTGTGTTCAGAAAACAAAAAGTCAATAAAAAGACTGATTAAAAATAAAAACTCTTGGTTAGTAAAGACAAATCAAAGGTTTAAATTATTTTTGGAAACCACAACATGTCCTGTGTAATAAAGAGGAGAAAAACCATCCAGCCTGTTATCAGCATAGGATAAATCCTGCCTCTCTGATGTTATAGGGGTGCATTAGTGCCTATGGCATCCTCAGTTTTTACATCAGGAAAGGCACCATCAATAAAAAGAAAATTATTCACAGATTTTAAAACAAAATATGCTCCAATTCAGACAGTCTCCTTTTGGAAGGGGAAGGCCTTGCAGTTTCAAGCAGGACGATGATTAAACACTTACTGTATTTACTGCAGCAGCGTGGCTTTGTATGAGTCCAACTGACCTGCCTGCAGTCCAGACCTCTCACCCACTGAAAATAATTCATACAACATGAAACACAAAATCCTGCAAAGATCCAGCACTGTAAAACAGCTAGAATCTAACCCAGACCAGGATGGGACAACATGTTTATGAAATTAGCAAATCTTTGCATTCTGTTATTATTGACATTTTACTGAACATCTTAACTTTTATAGAACTGGAGTTGTAAACTAGTGGTTCGGTTCTTTGAATGTGGGGTTCTGAGGAAACTGGCTAAACCATTATTATCTTACCTTTAGTGGAAAGATGTTTAAAGTAGCTTAATTTGGAGAAAAAGAGTTTAATTCTGACCAGACTGCTTTTAACGTTCTAATAGTTTCATTCAAAAAGCTCACAATTTAATTTTTGCTGAAGTTCATTAAATGCTCAGAAACAGTAATAAAAGATAAAGGGCAAAAACATTAGCTATGAAATATTTCAAGTATTGATACATACTGTATCTGCTTCTGTAATGGTGGGAAAACACAGAGCTCTTAAGTTACATCAGAGCTCTGCTTCCTCTCTGCACGCTGTAAAAAATGTCCATGTGCTCTTGAAACGACACGACGAAAACATTCAGGGATGAGTGGGACTGTACGAGTGTCGGTGTAGAAGAAAGAAAATATATGAGAAGAAGTGCAAAATAAATATAAAAATGAATGAATAAATGTGGGAATACAAATACGGAAACATAAAAATACTGTAGGAATCAATGGCATTTATGTACATTGTATTTTAAAATTGGCTTTTCTAATTAAAAGCTCCTTCAGTGTGTGAATGGGAGCTACAAACAGTTAAAAATCTGATTTTTAAATATCTGGTAGAGGATAAGATAAGAATACAATTATATGTATACACGTGTGCAATTAATTTAAAAGTAAAGCATAAATATTAATGGTATTAATAAAGTTGGACAGTGTTCTGTTTAAAATTCAAGCTAAATGTCTGTTTTTGTTGTTTTTGGGTGCTGCCATGTTGTATTTTTGTAACCAGAGGCTGCACACTCAGAACGTGAGGCTGTAGCCTCGATACTAACATCCTCGCTTTACTCGCTAACAACCTCTGTTTGTTACAGCGTAACAACACTTTTGTCTTAAACAGCTATTTTAAACTAATCACATTGGGCGAAAAAATTCAGTATACAGCAGCAAGGCAAGAGCTGCAAAAACTGACAAACATCAACACCTGAAAAATATTATTTAAACTGTTTTATGGTTTTAGTCCAGAAAAAGTTCTATTCATTAATGTGGAGGGGCGGGGCTTAAAAATTGTACTGCAGCCAGTCACTAGGGGGCGCTTGTCTGCAGTGGCTTCAATTTTAGCTTCCAGTCCTGTTGCTGGTTACAATACATCTAAATATAAAAATGTAACGATAATAATAATAATCGTAATAATAATTATAAAACACTAGTCCTTCGATTACTGCAGGAGTTATGTTCCACACACCACCACGACAGGTGAAAAACCGCAAAGTAGGAACGCTATATTTATTTAGTATTCATTTATATTTTAAGGCTTTATAAA